ATATATAATTATAATATATATATTATATTAAATATAATTATATTATAGTTATAAGATATTTTTAATTATTATCATTTAGAAAATATTTTTATAAGATATATAAAAATAAAATATATAAAAATAAAAAAATCATTAAAAATAAATAATATAAATATACATGCATAAATGCAATATATATGCAATTTTGTGAAAAAAATATACTAACTTAATACAATAACATATTCTTAACCTATAAATATTGAAAGATATATAAAAAAAAAGATACGTACAACATTAAAATACGCATTTCTTTTTCCTTTTGTTTTAATTTTTTAAGTACTGTTAACAGACCCATTATTAATTACAGAAATATCACTAATCACAATTTTATACACGCATTATCTATGTTAGTTCCAGAATATATAAATATAATTATGCAACTAGTCAATCTTAACCTCTATATAAAATAATAAAATTGAATGTAACATCAAATGAATATCAAATGAATATAAAATTAAGTTTTAATTATTTAAAATAAATGAATTCAATATTAATAATAATATTAAATAATGAAAAAAATTGATAATAATTTATGTAAACAAATTGAAAATTACACAATATACTATATAAATATTAGGATAGAAATAATTCTGTAACTTTATTAACTACATCAGGATGACAAAATGCATTGATAATATTTTCAGATAAATATTGAGCAGAAGAGTAAATATTCTGTAGATTAATATGAGTTTTGGAAGAATCCTCTTTTAATATTTCAAAATATTCTTCAGAAAATCTTTCCCTTTTCATTTTCAAAAATTCTTCTAATTCTGTTATTTTAAGCTCATAAGGTAATTTTACATAAACTGGATACTCTATTGCTAAATCTTTGGCAGTCCATGTACTATGTTTTATTTTTTTATCGGGTGATTCTATGTTTTCTATATTTTTGCATTCTTCAATAGCAATATTGAGCTGTTAAAATAAATTAATTTTAATCTTTAATATTTATATAACATCAATATAATTTAACATTACTATTAATAAATATTTATTATACATTACCAAATTTATACTATCTATTTCATTAATTTCAGGTATATTATAGATGTCTTTTCCAATTTTAGCTACTATTAATTTAACAATAGCTTCTTTAACTCTTGATATATTATCTGTTAATACTGGTAGCCACATATTGACACTAATACTAAAGTCCAATGATTCAACATAATGCCACCAACCAGGAGGCACAAATAATATATCTCCTGGTTCTAAAGTTACTAGTTTTGCTGAATCTTTTATTTTTAATATATTAGTCTCATCTTCCTTAGTAGGACAGAAAAAGTTATATTTACTATATATTGTAGATTCTTCATAAGGAATCCTTGTTGGTCGAAGAAAGTTAGTTGAATTTGGAGGAAACAATAACCATTGTTTTCTAAAAAAAAGAAATATATCATTAAACAATCTTATTTTTGTATTATTTATTTTTTGATTTTATTTTTCTTTTTATTTATAAAATTAACCTTCCATGTATTTGAGCTACTAAATTACAACCATAAGAATCCTGATGACAATTTGTATGAGCTCCTTTGCTGCCAATCCAAATAGTAGAATCATCACCAGTTTTATCAATATCAAATCTTTTCCAATTTACTGAATTTAATATTTCTGGCTTATTTTTGAACCATTCTTGCATATATTTATAATCAAAATAATACCACTTTTTATGATTTTCATGGAGATTCATATTTTGAATAAATTCTAATAATGTCATTAAAACTGTTGGACAATTTACTTCCCATTGTGGATTCTGAAACATATGAAATTTTTAAATTAAATTAATATTATAATAATAAATATAAATATAAAATAATATAAAAATATAAAAAAAAGTATAAATAAGATAAATAAAATAGCAATAGCAATTTACCGTAGATCTAGCATTATAGCCAATTCGAAATGGTAATTTAATATCTCCGAATTTTTCAGCAAGTTCCGATAAATTCCATTCAAATAATTTCCAACAATAATCATCTTTTGCATTTTGTAAGAGTCGTTGAAATATTACTGGCTCTTTAATTTCCATAATAGCTTGATATAAAACTTTATCTGACGGTGAATTCAATGTTTCCATTGTTAGAAGTTATTTATTCTTTTCAAATATAATTTGATCAGGTTATATTATTATATAAATTATATAGATTATATAATTTTAAAAAATAAATTTTATTTATAAAAAATAGATAAGTTATTAAAGTATTTAATTTTTTGTTATTTTTTTTTAATATACGTATAAAAACATATTATATATTTCAATAATATCAAAATAATCTTTAATTTAATAATTTCAAATTGTGCACATCGAGTACAATTTAAGTAATGTATACATAAAAAGTATAATAGTATTTCTAACCTAACCTGAAACAACTTCACTATAGTTTAATATTGATTCCTATACAATATGCTTTTTAATTGTATAATTGTATTCAACAAAGAAATAAATATGTTAAAGTATACACAATTGTATAAAAATTATTTAAAATCACGATCAACACTTTTTTCGCATCAGAATAATATATTAATGCAACAAAGTCGGGTAATATTTAGTGTTAATTTACCAAATATAAAATTAAATATTGAAATAAATAATTATTATTTATTATTTTAGAATACATTTATTTTAAAAAGAAAATATCCAGTGCCTCTTTATAAAAAATATGAGACACGTGCAAAGCTAAAACATAAACATTTCATTTATGAGCTCGTAGAAGATACAAATGTTAAACCACAAAAAAAAATTGATATTGTCTTGCTAGAAAATGTAAAAAAGATTGGTGAAAAAGGTGAGAAAGTCTCAGTGTCTTCTCAAAAGGCTTATGAAACTTTGATACTACCCAAATTAGCTGTATATGCAACACCTGAAAATCTAGAAAAATATTTAATTAAAGATCAAGATGAAAAGAAGAAATTATCTATGTATAGTTCTCAATTTGTTGAAAGAACAATGAATATATTGTCTGTGTGTTATTTATCATTATCAATGTCCATGGATATTCCATGGATTATAGAAAAATGGCATGTGAGAGTATCGTTTCGAAAATTAGGATATATTGTACCTGAAGATGCTATAATTCTTCCAGATAAGACTATATCTGGACCAAATCTATCTATTGAAAATAAGGAATTTTATATTCTTGTTAAAATCAATAATCATGAAGAAGTTAAAGTTAGATGTAAAATACATCATTTTACTTCAGATCCAAAAAAGCAAATTAAGTATGATATACCATTTTATCAATTAAAAAACATAGCAATTTTCCCAGAAGATCAACCAATATTAAATTCTCTTCCAAAACATCATTTAGCTAATTTTGAAACTAATGATGTAAATAAATGAATAATAAATAATTGTATTATTATAAAAATATCATAATCAATAAAATTTTATTTTTTTGAAAACCTAAAAAAATTTTAATATTATTTTATAAATTTAATAATATTGAAATACATATAAAATATTTTTATATCTATATTCTAATAATATAATGAAAAAATAAATTGTAATTAACAATATATAATTTCATAACTATTTTCACAGATATATGAATTCTTATATATATCAATTTTTATGAATATAAAAATAAATATAAAGTCTAAAGAAAATAATTTTGAATAATTATTATCTTCTTTATCTTTTTCTAAATATTTTATATATTACATTCATATATAACATCATTCATAATATTAATCTTTTTTTAAAACTATACTTATATTTATAAAAGAAGAAATACATATATATATATATATATATATATATATATATGCAATTAATAATTAACTTATGCAACACTGAATAGTGATTTGCTTTTTAATTAATTAATTAACCTATCTTTTTACTAATTCAATTATTACGAATAAAATGTTATTATTCTAATATTTAAAAATGGAAGATAGATACTTTGCATGGGACGAAATTTCTGATGGATTAATTTTAATAAGGTAATAAATTTTCTAACAATTAAAAAATATATTTATATAAATTACATTTGTACAAGTTATAATCTATTCATCAACGAAATATGACAAATATTTATTACAATTATAATTTCTTTTTGTATTTAAATATACAAGTACACAAAAGACCGAAGATGAACACGTTAAAAAAATTAAACAAAAATCTGATCCTGTTTACCAATCAAAGGTGTATTGTCCACATGCATACTTAATTTTAAATTTTCAAGAAACTTTAAGTCAACGTGAAAAAGTAAATATCAGAAAATAAATAATTCATTTATATTTTTAATTTTTATATTTTTTAAATATATATTTCAGTTACGATTTAGAAGATATTATTTAAGAAAAGTATCTCCAAGTGAACCAGACGTCATTATTTTACAAGATATAAAAGATCTTGTAATGTTTTTATTGATCAGTCCCATAAGTCCTCAGTTTATAAATTTTTTCCATTTACCAATTGTTGATCGTTTTTTGAGAGCTGCAATACTTTATTTTCAATATTATGTGATAATATGGGAAGAATTAATGAAGGAACGTGCAGCTACTATAAAAAAAGCACCAAATCCTTTGGCTCAGGGTTATAGATTTAGATATGCAGAAGAAATGCAAAATCTTCGTTGTGTCTTAGGTAGAGAATATGCTGATTTAATAATAGGATGTCAAGATGTTATTCAATATCATCATATGACAGGTGGAAAAAAAGGAACATCTTTGACACAATCACAAGGAGAGAAAGATTTACGAATATTTGAAGTATTAATTTGTATGACACATCGTATTGTATGGATAGCTTTAGAACGCAAATATTTTAGTTTAATTGGTAAATAAAGACTATAATAAAATAATATTTTAAAATATTTATAAAGAATAAAATAATAATAAGATAAAGATTAGAATATTTATTTTAGAAATAGAATTGCATAGATTATTTAGAACCGAAACATATAATATAGCAGAAAGACGTAGTATAAGCCATACTATTCAGGATATGTTATATGATGATATCATAATATTGCAAGGTCATAAAATACAAGAAAAAAGAAAATTACTAAGAAATTCTCCTTTAATACAAGAATTAATATATTCAGATTATGATTATCGTCTTCTATCTTTGGGTATTATCTTTTTCTATATATTTCTTTCTTAAAAAAAAAAAGGAAAGAGAAATAATACAATATAATTTACAGGAATAGAAGAAAATTATGATGATGAACGTATTCTTTATTTAAAATATGCTCTTATTATTGAAGAAGATAAATTACATGAATTAGGAATAAAAGTAGGAATTTTAGGAGAAAACAGAGCAAATTATGATATTACTTTAATGCCCTTAGAAGAAAAAGATGAAGAACAAGACAAAATTCAATTATCTGAAAAAAAAAAATATGAAAAAAGTGTTAAAGATATAGTAAGTTCTTACTGTGATGTTTATGAATATATATTTTTATTAAAAATTAAATTATATTTTTAATATTATAGGAAATACCGATAAAAATTCGAAGGCTTCCATTATTTCAAACTAAACCTGATCTGACACGAGATTTTTCAATGAAAACTATAGATATATCACCAAAAGGCTATAAAATTGCTCGAGAAAGAGCAAGGAAGAATTGGTTGATGAGAGAATTAAAACGTCAGAAACATACTGAATATGATACATATTCAGTATCAACAATATTAGAATGATTACTTAAAAACAAATTAAAAATTATAAGTATAAATATTTAAATCAATATCAATGTCTTTTTCATGTTTTTATTTTATTAGAGTTAAATCTTAAAAAAAAATTTTTACTAACAAAATCTTTTTATGATATGTTTTTAATTCAAATATAATATAATTTATATTTTTAATTGTATTAAAATTTTTTAGAAAAATTTGAAATTTTTTTTTAAATATCAATTATTAAGATATATTCTTTAAGAAAGAATATTTATGCAAGCTTAAATTAAAAAAATATTATTTTATCAAATTAATATTAAATTAAAAATTTTAATATTATAATATAATATGTTTATATATGGCAAATAATAAAAATAAATGACATATTCTATCAATTATCGAATATAAAACTATTCACATTGCTATGATAAACTATATAAGTATATATCATTGATATTATTTACAATAATATCACATGAATAGATATAAGTTTCAATTTTTATTAGTTTTATAATTAAATAAAATTTGTAAATTTATTATTTGTAACAAATATATACTTATTTACAAGAAAATTATTATAAATTATTACATATCATGATATGCAAAAGATAATTAAAATAAATATTTCATATGATAAATAAGAAATAATAACAAAAATATTATTCTTGAATGTTTTTCAAAATAAAATAAAATAAATAGAACACAAATCAATTGTTAATTGTTATTTCAAGACTGTTTTATTTCTTGTGTAATTATTTGATATTAATATAAATTAGCAACAATTAAATAATTGAAAATATGTGCCTATATTTGATTTTATGATTTTATGAAAATTTACTCCAAAAATAATTTATTAGCTTTTAATGTTATAAAAATAATGAATATATGAGTATATTGAAAATAATAAATATATAAGTATAGAATATTGATATTGTTAATTAAATAAAGGAAAACAAATGTCAATAACTAATATATAATATGAAAAACTATTTTTTAAAATAATTTATAACATATATTGAAAGAGATTTGTAAATAAAAATACTATTAATTTTTTTATCTTAAAGTATTATTAAATATAGACACATATGTTTAAAAAATAACTTTTTAAGGATATGTGATAAGGGTGGATAAACTGAGTACAATAAGACAATGTAAAAAATATGCTTATTATAATTAATAATGCTTAATAATGCGCACTAATGTTGATATTTTACAAGGAGATACATATATAGGTACATCTGAAGCAATGCATTTGTTTTCTGATTAAATTTTGCATTGTTCTTATATAAATAATTACTGTACCTACTTACTACTATTATATATAATAACAATATATATATATATATCATGTCATATATATATATATATATATATGACATTAATTTAATCCCAATATGGGTTAAATTGTAAATTATATTGTATTTTTTCCATTTACAAGTGGCAAGTTCATTGTCCATTTGTGATGATTTACATTTAGCTAAAACATTTATTATTCAAGATACACTTCCTTGCAACCTATTATATATAAATAATGACACGCACATATAAGATATAAAAATGAATATTTTTGATAATGAATATATTTAACACAGAAATTTTGATAATAAAAGCTAGATTTCATAAAAATTTTTAAAATCCTGATATTACTTATGAATGTATTTAATTAATTATTTATAATTTACAAAGCGATTCAACAAAGTATTTTTACTTAATTTTAAATACGATATGTATTAAAATTATATAATATGATTCGAAATATATTATATATACTTGAAAATGTTACATGTACATATAATATAATGATAAGTTTTAATCATTTAAATGTTAAATGGCAGTAAATGATTTAGTTTTCTTTATAATTATTAACAGCATCTTTATAATTACTTATCTAGCTTTATTTTCAAAATCTATGTCTTACTAAAATTATTTAAATTTTAATTTTTTTATATTATTATTTTGAATAATAAAATAATATATTGCATGTCATTTTTTCTTTCATAGGTTGCAAAAGAAATTTAAACATATTACAATTACTAAAAATATCAAAAATGAAACTATTTCGGCACTTCTTATTAAGTTCAATCTTTAATCATATGTTACAGCTATCTATTATTGAATATTTGTCTACATGATTATAATACAAAATGAAGAAAATGATGATAGTGATCATTATGCATATTAATAAGATTATTTGCAATTATTTGCATATATTATTACAGCAGGTAGGTGATAAAAATGAATGACTATTTATATATATATGTAATTTTTTTTTAAGTTCAGTCATGTGTTCATGCAATTTTATTTATTTTTTTATAAACAAAATTTCTTGGTAGAAAATAATTTGATAAAATATTTCTAATTTCTATTTAAACAAAAATTAAATTACATTCTTATCAAAATATACAATGAAAATAATAGTGTACTGATTTTCAATAAAAGATTTTAATTCTATTTAAAACATTTTAGAAAATTTATACAACTTAGAGAAGTTACATAAAATCATTTGATCATATCTTTACAAAATATTTATGAATATTACTTGCAGATCAGGGTTATATTTTTCGGGTTATATTTTATTTTAAAAACAAAATAAAAATCATTAGCGAAAATGAATATTAATAAATGTATTTAAATAAATTGAGTCTTCAAGTTATATCATAACTAAAGTAATAAAATAAAAATAAATTGATGTACCCTGAAAGATTCAAATGTAGAATTATTTTATAGAATGTTTTTGTCCTTTGGCTTTTATATCTTTTATCTCTTTTTATATTGTATCTTTTATAAATATTTTGAAAAATATTTAATGATCTATTTTGTTATAACTAAAACACTCTAACTGAACTTTTAAACGATATTCAAAATAATTTGAAAATGTATAAAAGAACAATATTTAATTGCAATTTTTTCATGATTACTTTTCAGTAAAAATGAAATTTTTAGAATATTATCTCTTTTTTTTTTCATGAATCTATAACTATATGATGTAGTTTTACACAACGAAATTTATATTAAACAACTGATAATTTTTATTTCTTTTTACTTTCTGTATATCAATCCCTGCCTTTCTTGAATTTTTATAACTATACAACAGAAGTTAATAACACAATCTTACGTTTAGCAGCACAGACACAAACAGTATTTTTTTTTATATATGTAAGGAACACACATGAACTCATTTTCAAATCATTATCTTAATAAAATAGACGGGGCTACGAAGCAATGTCTGACATGAGTTGAGCCAATAAGGCTGGCTCTAAAAGTCCATGTGTTTGTCCCATTCTTTCCAAATTTCGTACGTCCTTATCTACTGCCTCTAATGCTCGTTCTAATTCTTCTTCCTCTTCTCTTGATGGTTCATATTCCCCATTTCTACCCTCTAAAATAGAAAATAAAATAGAAAATAAAATAGAAAATAAAATAGAAAATCCTACTTTTGATTTTAATATAATATTTAAAATAAGAATATTTTGTATTTATATAAGTGTATATTTATAATTCTAAATTATAAAGCATATTAAATTAATATTAAATTAATATATAAAATAGTTAATATATTTGTAAGCTTTGAAGAATTCTTGAATTCAAAACAAATATAAAAGTTGATTTCTACAATAAAATATAAAACTGTTGATTCGAATTCATTTATAAATTATGAGTTATAATAATAATTGATAGCTATAAGTTATAATTTAAGTTTGTATTGAAGCGAGATATAATGAAATGCGATAATATAATGAAGATAAAACGATCTCATTCTCTCTAATGCAAATTTTAATCAATTGTATTTAATAATTGATATAATTATTAATTATTTAATAATCCTCTAAAAATATTTTATAAATATATTAATATATTAACACTTTGTATAAAATTAATAAATTAATAAATAATTATAAATTTATATAAATCAATATATAATTTATATTATGTATATATTATATATAAAATATTAATGAAAAAATATTGTAGAAGAAAGGGACAATTGTAATTACCAATGAATAAGTCATTAAAAGCATCAGCAGGTAAATTATTGAGCACATTGCCAAAATCATGCTCTGCAGGATCCAGAGAAGGAAACACTTCATGATCTCCTAAATCTACTTTAAGTCCTCCTCCAAGACCTAATCCTAATCCTAGATTTAAGTTAGCAGAATTTGAACTTCCTTGCACTACAGTATTCAAATTATTCAAAGCTTTTGTCTGATTTTCACTAGAGTTTATTTGATTCAAATATTGACTTTCTTCATGTATAACTGTAGGATCTTTATTAGTCTCAAGTTTGTTCACAGGAGGCCGCTTTCGTTTCTTTGGCCTAGATTTTGGTTTAGGCCTGGGAATTGTGGGAGATGTTGGTTTTTTACGAGTTTTCTTTGGTTTAGACTCTTGTGCTTTACGATGATAATTATCTCTCTTCCTTGCATGTTCTGGACAAAGAGGTAATTCATGTGCAACATCAAACACAGGAATACAACATTGTGTATTATCACTAAATTTGGCAGTGCAATGTTCAAATAAAAGTTGATCTCCATTCAACATAATATGACGAGAACAATGACGTGTACAGGGCAAAGATGTCTGTTGACATCCTTCAGCTCCACAGAGTCCACCAACTAAAAGTGGTCCATCTATTACTTTACTTGTACTTGGAGAACCACTTAAAGCTCTTGCTGTAGATGCAGGATCCTTATAAGCAGCTTCCAATAAACATTTAGCTCTATCACGTAACAAAATTTCTGAGTCTGTTCCACCTTTATGTAATTGAAGTAATCTTCGTCTCAATTGAGAACGCAATTGAGAAAGACGAGCTGAACGATTCAATGTTGAAGTATTATCTCCAGAAAACCAATAATGTTGATAAATTGTCATTTCATCTCCACTAGAATCACTATCTGATATTTCATCTCCAGCTCTAGGATAATACAATAACATGTGGTCCCGACTTTGCCTCCTATTCTTTAGTCTTTGTAAATTTTCAATATGATGTTGTTTTTGTTGAATTGCTTTTGCAAATTTATAATCTATATGTTCACCATCACCATTGCCACCACCAACATTACAGTCAGCATCTAATTCTACAGCACGATCTTGTACAGCTTTGAATTCCGCATCTGATACGGATGTTATCCTTATTCTTTGTTTCATACATTTTCCTTTAGTTTTATTATTTTTACAATTTTGCATTACTTTAGAATTTTTAGATGACACTACTGTAACATTTCTTCCTGTTGTATGTGTACTAAATGGCTCTGGTTCACTGAAAATATAGGGATCGACATCTTGACGAACCTCAGTTTTCAGCAAAGCCTTTAAGCGATCCGAAAACTTTAATTTATTGTCCATGTTTGAATTTTCGGATATAGGGACCTTCATTGATTACCGTTTTCCTTGTATCCTGTTCTACCTGCATTCTCAAACCCTCCAAATCTTTCCTCTTATCTAGATAAAACTTAGTTCACGCCATATGCTTAAATCCAAATCCATACATAAATATTTCTGAATTCATAATACTGAGAATAAAAAAATAAAAAATTATTTTTATTGTATTATATCACAGATTGGTATTTCTTACATTTGCTTTAGACACATTAATGTTTATATATGCATCAAGATGATACAACTAATAAAATGAATTTTTGTACAAAATATAATAAATTATAAAATAGTCATATGTACTACTTATGCTAATAATATTAATGTGCATTTGGCTGTGTTATTTACATGTATCTGCATATATACAAAACTTAGTTTTGTCATGGATTATACTTTAATAGAAACATTAAAATTGATTATCTATTATATACCTATATTCAGTATCAAATTATGTAGTGGAATCTTACAAAAAATCTTATATATTTAAATGACAATAAAATTTCTGTGTTTCAAAAGTGCAAATAATACTTTAGCAGTCAATTGTTTAGATGAGTTAAAGCTATGTATCACTAAGTTTAAATTTGCATATTTCTGTACATAATATGTCAGATGGATATCAAAGTTTCTCTTGGTTCAAGCAATAAGCGTGAACTTAGTCCATGGCTAGATCAGGATAAAAATAATCCTTGCCTCGCATAGCAATTCAAATTAAATATACTCTATACATTTTTTAATAATTGCATTACACGAAACATCAAAACATTAAATGTGGATTCTAAAAGTTCTGATAATTTCTGATAAGACAAAGCCATATTAATAAACATTTTATCTCTAGTGTTGACATGAGTGCACTATGTTGGATATCAACACTGTTTGGTTATGTTCACTTTATATAGGTAATATGACACTATGCAAAATACTGTAATCGAATTTCAATAATACAGTCAGAAAGATTCATAAAATGAATCTTGCAGCATATTTATATCCTATAACAAGGGTAAACTATTCACAAATACTATCACGAAGTTTTCTTTATGGACTCGTTTCGTTTAGTTTAACCGAGGTTGGAACAATGAAAATTATTCCCAACAATGAGAGAGGTTGTTGCCCAATCAGAAGCAATCCGACCTTTTTCATGCAAAATACACTTCAACGGGATTGAAGATTCACGCACAAATTCCAGCATTCATCGATAATAACATTAGAAAGACATGTCAGATGTAAAGAAAGCAAAATGGCGGACACTGCACACACGAACAGTTTCTGATGCGAAAAATCTTTGAATTCACTGTATTATCATTATGAATTTGGTATACAAACATTTTGCGTCCATTTTAAGTGTTAACTAATTTTATATGATAATTTACAAAAATATATTTTTACAAAATTTTGATTATTTCTATTAGAAACATTTAGATTGTTTTTCGTTATTCATTTTTACATAACCTTTTAACTGTTACCATATATAAGTATTTAATTTATCTTTTTTTAGAAATTTTTTTTTAAAATAATAGAAATGAAAATATATGTGTGATAATATTTCATTTTTTAAGTTATGCATTTTTTAGTTTAATTTCTTTAATATTTTATTATATTTAAAATATTATTCGATATATAAATGTGTGGTTTTCTGATATTGATATTTCAATAAATTACTCTATATATGAAGCATTATTTTATATTATTTTACAAAATTATTTTAAATTATATAAGATTGTAATTAATATTTATAGTAATATATCAAAAAATGTTTTACAAATCGATTTAAAATAAATTTTAATTTTTGCAATAAACATTCAAAATGAAAAAATTTTTTCTCAAAGAAATCTTAAACACAAAACAATTTTTTATTTTTAATAATTAATCAAAAAAAATATGATTTTTCCAAATATGATTAAGATTAAGACTTAAAAAAATATATTATTTATATTATAATTAAATGATATAAATATAAATAATAATAATATACACACACACACATATATATATATATAAAATTCTTATATGAATATTATTTATGTTTATTATTTATTATATTATTAAATATAAAATTATAATAGTAATAATAAAATATCATGATTTAAAAAAAATTTTTTGTATTTTCTATAAAACCATTTTTAAAATTTAAACATTTGATTATTAACAATTAATATTAAATATATATATATATATATGTATTTTATACTTAAATAACAATATATTTGTATATATATTTTATATTTAAGTAATAAGTAATTTAAAAAAAAATTAAAATTAAAATATCGCAATCTTAAAAATATGATCAGCTGATTTTGACATAAAATTATAACCTATTTATAATTATTTATATATTGCAGAATACTACTTGTTGATTTATTTCATATTTTTTGAAACAATTTTAATTATTTAATTTAACTAATTTTTATTAATTAATAGTTAAAATTAATAATTAAAAATTGGTAAAATAAATTATTAGTAATTTATTAAATTTTAATTGTTTATTATTAATATTCTATTGCAAAAAAAGATCTAATAGATCCAAATATTATATTTTTTTCAATAACATAGATATACAAATTACATAAACTGTTTTATATATTTTTTATACATATTATTATTTTACATGTTTCATATGTTTATATATTAAATTATTTTTTATAATTAAAATTTTTTAAATTAATATATTATAATTTATATTATATTTATATTTTGTAACACTTTAATAATATAATTGCAAATTTTTTAATATATATAGGAATTTCATATAAAATAATATTCTTAATATATACTTTTTTTCATTTGTATTTTTTTTCTTGTTTCTTTTTTTATAATTAAATATACAATGATTATATATACACAATTCTATTTTATATATTTAAAATTACTTTAATTATTATTTTGTCATAAACATGTCTTTTAAACACATATGTCTATTAAAAATATCAGATTAAGTTATATATATATTATAAACAAATAATGTATTTTACAATAAAAATAAGAGATAATAATTTAGATCAAGATAATTAAAAATAAATTTTAGATTTGAATAAAATATATTATTTAAAATATATTTAATTATTTAAAATTTTTAAATATATTGCATAAAATTTAATTTTTTTTTTTTCTTTGTTATATTTTTCAATAATATACAAAAAAAATCAAATATATTACTTTTAAATGACAAATTTGTTTATAGTAAACATTCAATAAGAATAGTATATAATAAATTGTGTACATAACACATATTTAATCCCTCTGATCTCACCTGCTGATATTTAATAAATGTTTTTATTCATTTTGACTAGTGAATATTTCTTTATATATATTAGTGTTAAGTGTGTATTATATATATATATATATATATATATATAACAAAAATTTACACATTAACTTCCTTATTATGTTTTTCATTTAATAATTAATAATTCAAAGGTCATATTCATAATTTGCAATTTGAATATAATATACATGAAGTGAACAAAAAATTAAGAAACTAATTAAGTACAAAAATCTTTAAAATGCAAAAAGATACCATTTTTCTATTTTATAAATGTGAATTTGTTTATAAAAATTTATTACATATTGTTATCATATAGAAATTATATTTTAAGAAATATGTAAAAACATCATACATAATATTTAAAGATGAATTTTAGGAAAATTAACAAATATATATTGCAATAAGTAAAATTAAATCCTCTTTTTGAAAATTATTCTCGTTAAAAAATTATTCCAATTATTTTCAATGTTGAAAATTTATTTTATTCTATATTTTAATTGATTCAATTTTTAATGATATTAAAATCTTAATTTGAGGTATAGTTTGTGGCAGACCCAAGGGACGGTAATTTTTTTTTTTTATTACAAAAGTTGTATTTGAAAATTATTATGAATTAGATAATAATGTATGTTACGTAGTTTTTCGTTGAGGTTTTTGTCCTTTAATAATAGTTGGCCGGCCTTTTATATAACCTTTCTTTCGGCGTGGTGTCTAAAACATTAATGTCCCCCCCCCCACAACTTCAACTACATTTCAAAATTATATAATGTTATAATTTAAAAAATGTGAAACGATACGACTAAAACTGTAAAAAAATAAAAGTTTTAATTTATTATCATAAAACATAAAATTACCTTTTTACTAACATATGAATTAGCATTACGTGTAACAATTCGTTTAGATATTGGAATGGTTGGTCTATTAAATTCATTTGGTTTTTTCACCCTAAAATTATATGTTAATTATTAATTATTAATTAAAATTTTTAATTAAAATTATTAATTAAAATTTATATAAAAAAAATATTTATATACATAAAATTAATTCATAATCTTATGATAATATAATATTATTATTATAATTTATTAAATTATTATCATTTATTACCTGTAAATTCTAACAAGCCAATGCTCAGTTGTATAGGCTTCTTCTAAATATGTTAACTGAAAATTTTTATTTCCTATTTCGGCATTACGTGTACGATCATAACCAGATGGCGTTCGATAATCAATCTTTACTTCTCCAAATCGATAATAGCTTAATTTATACATTAGTGAATTCAAGAGAGTTGGTGATCCTTCTGAATCCACGCGAAATTCTCCTTTTTCAGTAAAATAATCACTTTCACGAATGTATTGTGGATATTCACCTTCAGCAATTCGTACCATCCAAAGGAATTTATTAACATCATCTCCAGAATATCCAATCATTCCTCCAAAAATAACTAAAACATAATCTACATCTAATGATGTCATAATTTCATAAGCAGCACTTTCATTTGAGCTCATTGCTTTTCCAACTAAAGCTATATGTGAATTATTCCAAGTGTTATTGTCCACAAGTGTAGTTCTATATTAAAATAAAAAATATTTCATATTATTATATATTATTTTATAAATAAATAAATAAATAAAACATTTAATATATTATTTTTTAATAATATATACCTATTAGCCATTCCAGCAATTTGATAACCATAATCCCACCAACTCATAATTCTAGCATCAATAGGTGTATTTTGTGCTAACCAATAATAAGCTTCTCTAAAATCATCAAGAATAGCTCTACCTCCATCATTACTATATGATGCCAGAACAATTGAAGGACTAGAATATGCATTACTTGTAATCCAAGTACAATGCAGTGTAAACATCATCATTAACATAAATGCACCAATAACAACACCATTTCGAAGATTAACACCTAATCCATCACCATTGCCTCTAGGTCTCTCATGTTTCATTCTACGAAGTTTACCAGCTTTATCATATAATGCTCTACCAGGGCTCCTTTCTCTTTCTTCTTCACTTTCTTCTTCACTACCATTATTACTTCGATCGTTTCTTTCATTATCTTCTTCTTTAAAAAATAATTCAAGAAGATCACTAAATGCTACTCCAGCAAGCATACAAACAACTGGAGTTAAAGTGAGCATAAGTCGCACCATTACTCCAGCAAAATAAACAGCGCTTATAGCATATAATATAACTGTAAAATAAATAATTAATAATTTTTACAATAATAAAATAATATTATTTTGAATCTTACCGAAAACGCGTTCATCATTAATACGTTTAATGCAGTACCAGAGGCCTACAGGAAATGTTGTAACAAGAATATGTAAATCAAAGAAAAAACTAAACCATGTAGTAGGTTGATGTTCAGAAACAGATGCTATTATTGGAATGTGTATTTTTGCATAGCCAGTATCCCAGAGTGAATAAAATCTTCCACTCCAAGGTGCAACAACACCAGCATAAGTTAAACAAATTAAAGCAAATAAAAGAATACCAGCTGTAACTGCAACTATTCCTCCAAAGTATTTCATTTCAGATTTTGTAAGTACAGTTCTTAAATATCTATAATAATAAAATTATATAGAAATATTTATCAAATTG